CAATGAAGGTCACCTGTCAACTTGTGGTAGTGCCTGAAGATTACTCTGTGTGGCTATAAACGACTGTTAAATGGAATGATGAATTGTTGAAGGATTTTGAAAACGGAAAAAATGATAGTCATGCCGGCCCAGCATCCTCAACATTGAAAAATGCCCCGGCATGGATTCTGCCCCCCCTCGCAATTGCAACTTCCCCAAAATATTCTCCAGTATCATTGCAGTGTATTTTTTCTTTTGTGCCTAGCTTCAGGAGTTTTCCTTCAAGGTCTGATGTTCATTTTAATACCAAATGCACATTTTTCCCAAGACAGTTGAGCCCCCAAAAATGTTACCTTAAATCCCAGTGACGTACTCAATGCACACGAGCCAACATGTTTTCGCTCATTTGGTTTCAAGATACTGTTTCAAGATACCAGTCGGTGTGGTTAATGTAACAAATGCCGACTTGATATTGGAAAGAGGAGTTGCAGGAATCTCAATGTTTCTCAAACGTGGCGGCTACAGTCTGAATCTAATTTTTTTTTTTCATGCAGGTGTTAACACCAGTCGATGGCAGGAGAGCTTGGTGATTGGTGTCTGCTCAGCCTTTGTCCTGATTGCCACCATAGTGTTTTTCATCATCTGCAAGCGAAGGTCAGTTGTGAGGGGAAGACTTCACCCAGTGACTTGTGGTGATTCCTGCGTGACGGATAGACCAGAAAATATGAGATTAGGGCAATGTGCCACCCTTTCCATCTTACTATGCTGTCTTACTGTGTTCACCCCCCTTCTCAGCCAGAGAGAAAAATGGATTTAGAAGCACCTGTTTTTACTTGCCAAAAGCATTTAAACGTGAACAGTTTGCTGAGGATGTACGATATTACTGTAGCTATCCAAATCAGTGTTGTAGTCGAGACCACTTAAGACCTTCCCAAGGCCTTCCCCAGACCGCACAAGACCAGCATAAGACCTCCAGTCTGATTTCAAGTCACAAGCTATTCAAATCAACCGCAACAAAACGTATTCCTTTGTCATTGTTCACCCTGTCACTTGTGCATGGTCTTGTGCATGGTCTTGCGCATGGTCTTGCGCATGGTCTTGCGCATGGTCTTATGTCTGGTCTTGTAATAGTCTTGACTACAACACTGTCCAAAATCCAATTATATCTGGGGCAGCTTTCAACAGAGAAATTGTTATAGGCACAGTGATTAAAAAAAAAGTCTTGAAATGGACAGGTTTTTTTTTCATGACAATTTACTGAAGCTTGCGTGCTGAAACATTTGCAGTGCAGTTGCGTTTATCCCTTAACTGGAGATTTAGGAGAAATGTATTTTGTCATGCATCTGAGGAATTTCTGTCCTAGGTATTAAAATAGTTCCACCTTGAACCATGAATTGCAAATTCATAACAGAATGTTGATCCTAATCCTTAACAGTCCTCAAAGACTGGCGTAGTGCCGATAAGTTAGTTCATGACTCGTCAGATTAGAGACAAAAAGCGTGGTGGCAAAAGTCGTTTGTGTCAGTGCCAAGTCCAACAATATCAGGAAACATCCTGACATGAGATGAGTCAGAAACAAGCTTGAAACGAGCAGCGGAAGTTGTATCTGATGAGAAACAGGTTTGGCGCCCCCCCTTCCCATGTACAGTGTGGCCAACCTTGCATTGTGATCTGACATGCATTGCTAATGGCATTGACTAGTGACAGTCACTAGGCCACAAACAACTGGCACGTTTCCTCTACGGTGGGTAGGACTTTGCTTCACAACCCTGTCTCTCATTTGTTCTGAAGTCATGCAGAGCAGGATCCAGTGTGGTTAGCCCCCACCCCACCTGTCACTTCCTTTACTGTTCAAAGCCAGATGGACCAAGACTGGGGGGGGGTTTCCTTTATCAAAATGCTTCGGTTGGTTTTATGCACATGAAGGGAAACATGGAAAAAATGGGGAACGCGTATCCACATGGCATTCCAACGTGGACATATGTTTCCACCTGGGTTCAGCTGCCCTCTCCTATGCCGAGTGGGGACAAGCACCATGCGGGGGTTCCCATTACAAACAAGGGTCATTCCCAGCAGGTTTGCAGGCATTTCAAGTTCCAAGGATTGTACTGGTCATAGCAGTCTTGAAATTCTGCAAAATGCTGGTGTTGGTGAAATAGGCATAGGGTGAACATTAGAGGTGTGAAGATGAATTTTTTTGTTTTGGGTGGGGTTTTTTGTACAGTTAATTAGCAGGCTTGGCAGTTGTCACTTCATCATGAATCTCAGTGTCGTAGTTTCAGGATTTTCCAACGATCTTCTAGACACCTTGTGAATTTGTACAGAATAACTTTTGTGTTAATATATATGGACATGAAAAGTCATTTCAAGTGAAGTTTCACAGAGTTCCTGTTGTTTGATGTTCGCCTTTGGCCAGATCCTCAAATTACAGGCTCAAGTCCTGTTTCTAGGAACTCATGATCCCTTTACCGCATAGCTTTATGAAGCCCAGTATTTTTGATGGGTTGTCTATCCCAGATGAACAGCTGTTGTACTCTCATAGTTTATTGTGACCAGGATCTTTCAAATGGAACTCACCAAAACCTAAAAAATGCCAGCTGGTTCACATTTCAAACATAACAGCAACCCCCCCAGTAGCCGTGGCAACAATGCTTATTAAATGTAGATGTGATGTTGAGCAGAACTCGCCAAAACCTCAAAAAATACCAGCTGGTTCACATTTCAAACATAACAGCAACCCTCCCCCCCAAATATGTAGCCTTGGCAATAATGCTCAATGTTGAGCAGAACACAGAATTTTCAACCTTGTGCAGCATTTAGATTTGTTCTTTGCTCGGATTTACACATAGAAAGTGTGTTGGATTCTCAGCTTTGATTTTCATTGCTGGTCACATTTTTGACCTCGTACTCTCCCACATACACACAGGGGTCTCTTGAAACGAGCCCAGTCTAGTGCTGCTGCCCACATCCACAGTAGCAATGGTGCCGTGTGCACGGGCTATGTGGCCAGGGCTAGCCCCGATGGCCAGACGTACGTCACAGGGGTGGCAGACAGCGGGCAACAGAACGGCTTCATCCCCATGAGAGCAGTGCTCCCACAGCCCCAGAACATGGACACTAAGGTAAACAGTGCAGAATATTAAAGATCTTGCAAAGTAAGCCATCCCTTATTGCTTGTGACAGGGCAGGAAAAATTTTAAAAACCATTTTGCACCAGATAACGTGCAAGCACGCAGTGATTTCCTGTATGCCAACACAGAGGATGTTTAACCACTTCCTTCCGGGACTCCGGAATCAGACACGTATGCTTTATATGCGTGGCCGGGGACTCTGAACTCGGAAAAAGGAAACAGGGCCCTGTAACAAAAGACCGTACTCCAAACAAAAGACCAGGCAGTTGGGCATTATCGACATTTTTCACTCTCAAAAGTGGTGATAATCCAGCCTTGTTTTGAAACCGTATACCAGGGTTTGGGGCATTTAGAGCGAGCGGATTACCACCGGGGACAAAAGCGCTCCACCACCGCAGCGATGAGCCACACAGCACCGCTGCACGCTAATCTAGCCCTTATTGAAAGAGGTCAGAAGTGCACTGAGCCAGGTTCATGAACAAAAGAAAGTTATATAACACCGCACAATCTNCTTAAAGTAGTGCCTAAAGATTACTTGGTGCAGCTATAAACGACCGTTAAATGAAAAGATGAATTTTGAAGAATTTTGAAAATGGAAAAAATAATAATTATGCTGGCCCAGCATCATCAACATTGGAAAATGCCCCGGCATGAAGTGGTTGAAGACGTTCTGGCAAATTCCGTTTGCAAAACTTGATGAGGTCTGTACTGATTCCCCTGCTTGATTGATTCCAATTGAGTTTGTACATACACAGGCTCAAGCTACATGTAGATCATAGAGCTTGGGTGTGTGTGGATCCCATAAGCAGTCTTGGGCTGCATCTGGGTGTCGTAGCAAGTATTGCTCCACGATATTGGAAGGTTTTTGAACGCGAAAATGCGGTCATAAATGTCGCTTAAATAATGAACAAATTACCACCTATAGACAGCGTTTTTGAAGTCCAACTTTGTAGTGAACTTTGGTTGTATCTTATCGTTTTAAAAAAAAAAGTCATTTCTGGCCCTAAAATGATGTTGCACCTGTGACAAGTGCAATGTAAAAAATATAGTTGGCAAGTTGTAAAGTGGGCCGTGCATGCAGTAAGGAAGTTGAGTTCAGAAACCACTGTGGTGTCCTTTTGGTGAGGTTTTTAAACCTTGGGCTTAAAGTTTACAGTTAGCCTTCGTTGTAAAAGCTTGTGCCATGAAGATTTTGAGTCCCTTCGAGGAGGAGACTGGTGTTTGAGGCATTTGTTGAATCCAAATGAAATATATCCCACCGGTTCCCTGCAAACAGGGTGTCTACGTTTGAACAAACTGTTCATTTTAGTAAATCTGGTCTCTTAAAAAAGTTCACCGACTTGTTGGGGGAAAAAAAGAAACAGAAACGAGTTACAGATGACCAGACTGTGTCAAACAATGTGGGTTATGAGAAATATTACCCTACAACTGTGTCCCTCTTCTGCATTAGGGTGGCACCCCTCTGATCATCAACGGCAATGGCCCTGTCCGTACCTACCACCACCACCACCACCATTGTCCCAACGGTGGCATGGCCATGCCGTCCCGGTTCCCGCGACCTCCTGGTCCCTGCAGTGCTGACCCCGATGCCTCAAGTATGGCCCTCCTTCCTGGCAGCGAGAGCGTAACCAACTCGGACTTGGGGGAGGACAACTCTCAGGTGGGCAAGGCTGAAAGAAAACGCATCTGTAGATTTTGAATAAAAAACCACCAGTGGAATTCTCTAATTTATTTCTTATGCCATTGCTATGATCGCAACACCTTAGACTGGTTGTTGCGTAATTCTCTTGCACCAATCTTCAGGAGTGGAAACAGGAACCATACAAGTGTGTTCAGTAATGTATGGATCTTCATTGACCTTAAAAAAAAAAACGTCCTCCAAGGGTATGAATTAACCAGACAATTGAAAGAACAGCATCTATGGATGTAAGTCGGATTTTGTTGAAAAAATTACAGGAAGAATGAAAATGAAACTTGCAAAAGTCCTTCGGGCTTGAACCCCGGTCCATGTGCTTGCTGAGCAGCGTGTGTTTAGTGGACTCCAAAACCTCATATAGAGGTTTTTCATGTGAAATAACGTGACAGGCAAAGGCACTTAAGAAAGCGAGTCGTGTCTGTGGAGGCACGTGCATTTTCGAATCTGGGTATTTCTATTTGCAATTTCATGTAAGCCATAATTTTCGTGCACATCTGTTTAAATTGAACGCTGACCGTCAAAATTCATGGGACTGCAAATCCTGTATAGATACTGCAGATAGCCCCCCAAATGGCCTGAAAAAACCTGTGTACTTTTGAACAAGGCTGTGTCACTGTTATTCAAACCTTGTCATGACAAGTGGTATTTGGCAGGCTTGGCCCAGCTGGTCACTGTATTTGAAAGGGTTCCCATTTTTGCTCGAATTGTCTCAGTAACTTTGAATTTGTGGTTTGCAGGGCAAATCGGAAGCCAGCAGTAGTTCGGGTGGCTTCTCCTCTTACTCTCAGGATCCTAACCACCGCACCATGGCTATGCAGCAGTGCTGCCTGGCCAGCAAACTACCTCAGTGCAGCAGCTGTTGCATCGTGCCCTGTCCTCAGCTCTCTGACTCCTCCACGGGATCTTACGGCGAGCCTGTGATGGGGTCAAGGGTCGCCAGGGTGCTGCCCTCATCGCCATCACCACCACGGCAGCAGTCTGCCCCACAATCTCAGGGTCTCCACGCCACCAGGCATACGGGTGTCGACATTAGTGGCAGTGGCCAGGGGAGTTGGCAGGCTGACTGGTGCTTCTCAGACGGGAGGTGGCCCGCTCCCACCCCAGCCCCGACGCTGCAAAGGAACGAACTGACGTGGCCCAGACACACCGGGCGGGTTCCATGCAGGGTCCAGCGGGGGGAAAACGTGGTCACCTCCACCTCAGATTGCGCGGTGCCACAGCCATCATCATCCGTCTGGCAACGACAGAGTCAAGCACCCAGTGACATGGAGGTTCCCTGCCAGCAGAACGCCGAGGCCCTTCCGTCACCGGACAGTGCTGATGCCCTCGGGGGACACCAGCAGACGCCAGAGACAACAGTGCAGGGCGAAGACACCAGTCCAGATTTCCTCAACCGTGTCCTGGAGGAGTTGAGCTCAGGGTCTTGCTCCACCGCTGTCTAAAGAGAAGATGGAGAAACACAGCACGACATTTTTTTTTAAATTGAAGCGCAAAAGAAGAGAGGAAATGTACGTAACCAATCTACCTGATAATATCAACTGCATTTGATTCGTTCAGTTTGGTGCTGCTACTATAATGCATGGCATAAACACTACACATTCTCAGGACCATGCCATGCATACGAGTGCGTATCAACTGAGAAGAAAAAAACTATTTAAACTTGGCCGAGGAACTGACCAGGAGCCGGCCAACGAGTGGACTTACCTCAACCCCCACGAAAGACTGACAGCTGAGAAGATATATTTAAAAGACAAGAAAAAGGATGTTTGCATTGTGATAATGTGAAACAGTAAAGGATCTCTCCTGATGTTGACTCACTGTCGGACCCGCAGGAGATGTGCGATGCTTCATGGAGACAAAACGAAAAGGGGATGAAGCAAAGAAGCTGTGTAGCTGATATGACCTCATATCTCACTACGGGTTTGGAGTAGTGACCTCTATATAGCTGCTATCTTTACATGTCCAAACGGAATGTAATTTATTTACTGAAATTTGTATTATTCTTATCATTATCGTATGCATTTTTGTTTCTGCTTTTTAAAGTTAATGTATGCGGGGTTTTTGTTTTTTGGGTTTTTGTTTTGTTTTTTATTTGAGGTTTTAATGCGTATTTATCATGTTTAGTTAAAAAAAGATGCATCGTCCAGGAAATGATCTTGTTGGATTGAGCAGCGAAACACTCAGTGTTCAGAAGCTTTTTATAAATTTGATTTGAAGTGTTCCAGCCACCCACAGTAAAAAAAAAAAGGGAATGTCACCTGTGGATATGCACTAAGAAATTCTCCAAATTTTGGTTTTCAAGTCGATGCAGCAGACATCCAATTATGAACGTGTCAGTCATTAAATAGAGATTTGGGGGTTTAAATTGCCAAAACAAGAAGGGAAAAATCGCACAGATCCTGCAGAACCTTGCACTTACCTTTGTTGGAGATCACACGCTTCCATCTCTGGTGATCAATCCATTTTGGAGTACCTTGCCAAGTTCATATCTTGGAGTCAGATTTCAATGCAACAAATCCAAAAGAGTCCATTGCCGATACTGAAATGGTACAGGAGGTCTGAACAATGATATACTCACACAAAATGCATTTAAGCATCGCAATGCAGTGAGGCACCTGCCACAGTGGAGATAAATGAGTCACTTTCAGTAACCTATCGAATAAAGAAGAAATTGTTCCATGTTCTTTGATCACAATTGTTTGGATTGTGAGTAACTGTGCCTCGTGCTTACAGCACACGTCTTCATGTCTTCGCCGTTGTGCAGACAAATGTATTACTAATTACCTCAGACGTGTAGTAAAAAGACTCTTCTGTTTTGGGGGTTTTTTGTTTGATTTTTATTTTGGGGGGTTTTGGTGTGTTTGATAGGCATGTGTTGAGTTTCTCCACATTGCAAGCTGTGTTCCACACTTATACCCAGTTACCCGCGTCCATTTCGTCTGTTCACATTCTTTGCATCCCCCAAAAAAGCCTTCACCTGAACAAGTCCGTCTTATTTGCATCGACCAACAGGCAACACGCCTTTGTCCCACTATTTCACTATGGAAACATACATGGAACGTGGGTAGTGTACCTAGAAATCATTGTGTTTCTGTAACAATTCCTTAACCAAACACAGCTTGTTTACTTGGCAACACTTTCTTAACCCTATGTGGTTTTTGTCATTTTATGCACTTTTTTCTTGTTTTTTTCGTCATATTTTTTTCAAGTATCCTTTGTGTTTGAGGAAAAGGTATTTCTACCTCAGAAATAAATGTGTAAAATACGAGACTCAGGGAAGCATAATGTATGATACATTATTATACAATTTATATCGTAAGATAAAGAAAATGGGGGAGAAAAAAAGACAAAAACTGTACAGGTTATTGATGTATTCTTCGTCATGTGTTTTAAAAAGGAGTAAACTTTTTTCGATTATCATATGCTAGTTTTAATTAATTATTCAGGTGCACTTTTTAAGATAGCCAAGTGTATATTAGTCTGGTAGGGCAGTTTGGATAGGGTTCCCGGTGGCTTTCACTCAAGACTTCGGTCCCGATTATAGGTTGGGAATTTTTTTTTTTTGAAGGAAGGGACATGTAGTAATTATGTCTTTTGTCAGAAGAGATGTGCTTGCTCCTTAAAAGTCAAGGGTTTGAGAGATGGCGTCTCAACTCTCAAATGTTTGAAAGACTATTCTCCTTCCCTCTTGCTTTTTTTGTCGGGGGGGGGGAGTGAGTGAGACTTACAGCTCTCCCAGTGAGGACTCCGATCTTTAGTGAATGCTACATGGACTCTGTCCGTTACTGTTTTAGTGCATGTGTGACCTTGGGTGTCTGGTTTGTTATACATTTTATCAAGTTTCTAATCACTTGCACAGACATTTAAAAAAACTGTATTCGATGACGGGTATTCATGTGTGCCATGAGTAGTGCTTGTGTATCTTGTACAAAATAAAACAAAAACAAAACATTGTCAGCAATTTTTAATAAGGAGACTTATATTAGCATGGTAATTGCAGCTAGTTATAAGGTATCCTTACAATATGAAGACGTAGCAGCTATCCTCTGTCAAGTAACTGTATATGAGCCAAGTCCATGTGACTGTGATCATTGTTCATTTACTGATCTCACAGTTGGCAACCTGCCAATTGACACTGCCATGCAGACAAGGATGCCTTTGCAATCCCCCCTCCCCAAGAATTCATTTCGGAGAAACCTGCATATTTTGTGCTGCCGAAATCATGTGAAGCTCTGTCCCTCGGGCGATAATTCAGAAATGAAATCGGGTTTCTGGATAAAGAAGGAATTTGTTTTTGATAAGGTTGGAGTTGATACTTTTGTTGAGGCGTATGGTCATTATGCTCAGATCATGATATTCATGCCAACATGTCCCAGTTTGGTGGTCACACCAAGATGAGTTATTCAGTGCATCGCATAGTTGATCCTGTACATACACAAAAAAAGGAGCCCTAGTGCATTGACAGTTCCCCACCCACTCGCCCTTCCTACCCTCCATGTTACAACAACCTGTGCTCATTTCTTGTTGCATGTTTTAGGTGTTAGGGTTGTGCTTTCTTTCCTTTTTTTAATGAACAACACACCTCTACCTCAGAATTGTCAACAGGGACAGGCAACAACTTGTTGGCCCGTCAATTAATGTAACAGTGAATTGTGGCGAAAAGGATGAATGCAGTCATTGTGCGTTTGGCCATATCGGTTACCAGTTTATGTAATGGGCTTTCTTTGGAAGAGACGAACACTTTTGTTGAAGCAACAAAAACCTTCATGCACCGACACTATCCTTTTGATGATTTCTTGTCGACCAAGATTCATGCAAATGTTACTTGTCTGCCCTGCGGAAAACAGTTAACATTCTTCTTGGTCACTCTTTTCAAGTTTGATTATTTTTCAGACTTTGTAACAAGTTTCTCTGTGTTTTTTGTTTTGGAAGTATTCACTCACTCGAATCTGTGTCCCAAATTAGGGATTTTAACATGTACATTGTAAACGAGATGGTTTTAAATAACCAAAACGAGAGAGAGAGATTGCGTACAGTTTGTTTCAATGCATAAATCTTCCATAGCATGTTCTGTTTGTAAATGTATTGTCTCCATCCATGGACAGGTTGGATCCGGCCCATAATGTAAATAGTCCTTGTATTCTGGCATCTCTCTCTTCATTGGCAGTGTCTTCTCAGCAGCCTCAAGAATGGGCTGGATTATTGGGGTTATTTTTAAGCGAGAAGCTTCCGATTGGCCTTTTTTCCTTTTTTTTTTTTCCTTTTTTTTTTTAAGTGAGAGGCCTAGCAGGGGGCCAAACGTGCATACGGGTATACAAACCAACAAGCCGATATTCAGGTCCTACAGGACAACATCGGTCAATGAAGCTTGTTTACGATTTCCAGTCAGTTGGACATCTATACTTATGGATACCCTTTTGTTTTGCTCTTTGAAACGTAGTGGTCTTTATAGATTTTGAACCCTTGTCAGTTTGTATTCAAAGAGTGATGCATTTTTTTGGGTGTAAGGAGAGTCAGCAGACTTGACATATTAACCTCTGTACATAAAACGAAAAGCTGATGACATACGGGTGCCGGGGAACATCTGGGTAGGATTAAGCTTTGACTTTTTTTTTTATTATTATTCTAAAGTGTGCACGTTGATTGTCTGTAAATCAGTCCAGCTTTGGGGGATATGTCTTGAAGAAAAAAATGCTCAGGAAAAGTCATGGAAATGTTTCTTTCGTTGGATTATGTCATCGATATTTTTTGGCAATCTCAAAAGAAACAAAACAACTCTTGGAAGGCATTCCTGTAGAACTATATAAAATGCAGTCCCGTTCAAACCGAAACTTAAAAATGCCAAACAATCACTTAAATTACACAAAATCAAAACAACTAAAAAAAAATGGCAAACCTACAAAAAAAATTTTCAAAGCTGCAACATGCAACAGGTGTTAAATATTGTGGCCAATTCTACCAGAATAAATGCACATTAGTTTTATTTTGGGGGGGGAGGGTAAAAGAAATGAATTCACGAATTGGAAAGTCAGGATTTGAAGAAATATTTTTAAGGTGCAGTTTAATCCCTTTTAATTACTTTTAAAACACACAGTGTATAAAGTATGGAGGAAAAAAGGTGAAAAGGATTTATGTACATAAAATAATTTATTAATATTTCAGAAAAAGAAAGATTACTTTTAAGTCCTGTAATATATACGTGCCTCAAATCATGTCCTAAATATTTTCACCACTGATTGGCCATATTTAACTTCAGCAGCTTTGTTTTTATCAGAACACAAAGAAAAAAATTACCTTTTCTTTTTTGTCTGGTTGAGGTATCGCCCCAGAGGAATATTGATTCTCAAAGTTTTTAAATTAATCATTGACATAATCTGAAAATATTCACTCCTCAATATTTATTGCAGAAAACAGATATTTTGGAATACGATTTGGTATAAATGGGTTGCATATTGTCAATGCTCGTTATTATTGTATCTAATTCCTGATTATACCAGGGGTGTGAGAATTCAGCTTTTTAGCTAATTTTAGCTTTTTTTGTTCAGATGTTGACCCTGAATTTCAGCTTTTTTGTACACCTCGTCTGTACAAAAGTATGGGAACTGTTTACGTTTCAGCTGTTTAATTCTGTTTTCAGCTTTAATTCCAAGTGGCCGCTCACACGCCTCGGATTTTTATCAGGCAAAATTCTTCCTCAAAAATCTGCTGGATTTTCTTGCTTCATATTGAGAAGTATCAGGCTCTGTGACATTTTTGGGGCTGGAATTAATTTTAAACCAGTAACTACCTTTAAGCACCCTGGTGTGGTATTGCCAATGTCCTGTCATATATCTCAGTTTTCAAATGTGAAGTTGTCCTTTTTTCTTTTCTTTTTTAAAATAAATTGTTAATCAGTGTAGCAGTAAGGTTTTGTTGTGTTTGGTTTAATGCGTATAGTATTAATAATCAGGACTTGGTACACATGCAGAGTTTAATTAGGCAGCTTGACTTCCCCTTAAAGACAGGAGGGGGAAGGGGGAAAAGGGCGCCATCTTTTGTGCAGAAAGAGTTGATTTGCTAGCCTTTCCAACCTAATTGAGGGGAACTCCCTGTTCTTCTTGAGTTCTTCACTGGTTCCACTGCAACATAGTAACTTCAATTTACAGCTGTTATGTGCAAGCGTTTTTGAAGGGAGTAATAAAAAGGCTTGAAAACAAAATGAATTTCCAGCAACTGCAGAGTTTTGCTGGTAGGCCTTTTGAGGGGCATCCAACAAAATATTGGGGTTTTTTTTTATTGGGGATGGCACACCCACTAACAACAAAACTGGGGTCATTTCTGATGAAGATAAGTACAGGGTGAAGAACTATTTTAAAGTGAGTTTTCAAGGTGGAATTGTTTTGTATTGAATTGTTTTCATGATAACGTGCTGACCTTAAAATACCAATAGTCTTGGCATCACTTGCTTGAATTGAAAACAGAAATTGCAAGCCAGAGTGTTTTCATTGTGTCCATTGCTGCAGAGTTGGACATTGTTGGGAGGCCGAAAGAAATCTTTGATGTCACTTCAGGATGAAAGTTAAGCCTTCCCCAACAGTGAGCAACAGTGCGGGGATTTGTTCTGCATTCATTCTTTCAAATCCATGTCACCTTTGTCCAAGTTGGAACCGGGCCCTTTGCCCAACTGCGAACGCATGTGTTGGCCCAACCGGGGACTTTTTTCCTCTGTCCCATTGTGGAGCACAACCGCTGATGCGACTGAATTATTTTCTACTTCGTACACTGCCTTGTTTATTCAAACTTCAGGCCCCCTTCACGGGTCAAGCTCGTTTCACTGAATGTTTGCATACAGCATTACAAGATTTTGTACATTAAGAGAAAAGGGGGGGGGGGCAGATAATGAAAGACCAGTGTTCAGGATATTATTGCTGACAGCAGTGTCTCTATATATAAATATATATACATATTGTCTTACACTAAAAGAAAATAAAATGCGCCAGTGATATACGGGTGGACAGAATGTTGAGTGTTCATCTCGTCTTATTTTTGGATGGTGTTTACATTTCATATTCCCAGAGAAAACTAGGAAATGGCATTTGTATGTGTTCTTTATATTATCATCAAGTACACAATGCAACCGGAACAAAGGATGTTTCGCTATCCTTAGCGGCCAGTCGGTTAATGCCTGCGCTTAGCCTTTAGGAGCATGTTGGGGGAAAAATCCAGGATTTTTCCGGGGGAGGGGGTTAGGCCGGAATATTTCTGTTTTTTTTACTTCTCATTAATGCAGACAAGCAGAAATCAAAATTTTATGGCATCCACTGTTCACATTGGTCCACTCTATTTACTTATTTTTTCAATTATTTTTCCCCTTTAATGATAAATTACAGAGCCCCTGGTGTGGCGTTTGCCAAACTTCGAAAGCCAAGGTCCTCGCTTTGGTGATTTTATATAACAGCACTACATGTACGTGCATTATTGCTACATGAACATGTATCTCTGGCCAAGACGTACTTGAGGGAAAACTTTTTTCAAAGATTCTGTAAGGGGCACAAGTGCAAGTTGAGGGAAGGGGCTTTACTGCCATGGTTTCTCGGGCTTAATTATAATTCATTTTTTCACCCTGAACTTAATACACACTCAGTACAATAACTTTTGCGCATAAACCAAGTTCAACAATTTTTTGTAATTTTATTGGCATAACTTCACAGTCCAGAAAGGCAAGTTAACTACAAAGGAAACTGAAAAAATACTTTTTCCTGTGTGTATTTCAAACATTTTATGAATTTCAACTGTGCCCCTCAAGAAAAAATTCGCTTCGGGAAGATAAATGTACTGTAAACACTTGTATTTACACTGACCTACGCCAGGATTGGAAGTTCGGTATAACTGCTGTAGAGCTCATGCTAATGTTTAAGACCAAGGAAGACTATCAGGGAATATAGCCAAATGATATAATGGTAAACTGAATTCATATAAAAGCTTTATAGAATTTCAAAGTGTTTTGTTAAGGGTTTTTTCCTCAAACTCTTAAGAATGAATGTCCTTCATTGTCGTCTTCCCCAGGGCCTTAGGGAAAACAGTTTTTAAGTTACAGAGTTTTTATACTTATCAAATAAAGAATGTAATTCTGAGAACAACATTTTGAAAATGAGCCCGCGCGCTTGTCCTGTTACTTTGTCCCCAAGAGCAATGCTGCAATGCGCCAGCCGGGGGGGTGGACATGATCCTCATCGGATGGTGTCAAAGGTGTTGAGGACCTTCAGCACCATCTCGTCCTCCAGTAGCCCCTCCTCTTGGATGCCCAGGTTCTTGGGCAGCTTGGGCCGGACCTTGTCCGTCAATACCCCACTCAGGCCAACCCCTGTGTTCTTCGCTGCCGCTGCCGCCGGCCGCTGTTCTTCCAGTCCCTTGCTGGGACTGAAGATGAGCCACCGCAGGTATTCAATACGCTCCTCGTGTTCGGCCAGCACCTGGGAGCTCCACACAAAGTGGGGGATCTGTAGGCAGAAATAGGCATTGGGCAGAATCAAGTTGTGTGGGGATTTTCTAATCTGTAGATACAAAATGTTAATTTTAGCTACTTGCCTAAGGTCGTCTTTATGGAACTGCAGAACAAGGAAAGTCCTACTTCGAACTAAAAGCTACTTACTGACCAAGACAACACCAAGTAAACAGTTTCTAATGGCACTCTTTTTTAGGTTTTTCTTTTGGGGGGGGATAAATTATATTTTCTGTTTTCCATCTCCTTGAACTTAAAGTCCCTGGGGTCAATAAACAGAGTTGCTTAACATATACAGTTGCTATGGGCAGGAAAAAGTTCCCTAAAAAAAATGTATCAAAAATGAAAACTGGTAAGCCAGGTTTACAGTTAGACCCCATTACAGAGGGTCTACGTTTCAGGTTCACAAAATTAACCTGTCCCCAATATTCTCCCACAGCTTCCCCCCCGGAGGTAATGAAATATCTTTGCGCGAACAGAACACAGAGCACCGGTGGTTGTTACAATTTAACATTAATTGTAAGAAATACTAAACTGGCCCCAATGGCGCTCAAGCAGCATTATAATTTTCAGCTACAGCAAGCACAACGTATCTACTGTTGGGCCTGGGGGAATTCTTACCTGGACGTATCTGTACCCCATGAGCTCCAAGTGTCTTTGTTTCAGGGCCACCATGCCCAGGGTGTGTCTGGAGTTGATGCAGAACAGAGCGCTTGGCAAAAAGTCAATAGCAACCCTGAAAATAAGAGAAATGTAAAACTCGCTTCGTTGTGCAAACTGGTCAAGAGGTATTCATTCAACACTTTTCATGCGACATTTCTGTTCCAAATTCTTCAATCTGTTAGAGATAGACCTCGTCCACTTTCTATTACATGCTGTGCAATCTCCTAGTTGGATTGATCAGAAATTCTGAAGCAAGGTTCTCAACAGTGTTGAAGTCAAGGCCTATTGAGACCATCCAAGACCTCCAGTCTGAATTCAAGTCAGCCAGTCACTTGTGTCTGGTCTGGTGACTGGTCTTGTGATGGTCTTGACTACGACAATACATGTAATTATCTAAGGTAAGATAAGGACATTAACCACTTCCTGCCGGGGATTCTGGATCCGGACACGTATGCTTTATATGCGTGGCCAGGGTCAGGGAACAGGGCCTTGTAACAAAAGACCGTACTCAGAACAAAAGACCAGGCTGCTGGGAATTACCGACATTTTTTCACTCTCAATAGTGGAGATAATCTAGCCTTGCTTTGAAACAGTATACCACTGTTTGGGGCATTTAGAGGGAGCGGATTACCACCGGGGACAAAAGTGCTCCCCCAACGCAGTGATGAGCCACACAGCACCGCTGCATGCTAATTTGACCCCTATTGAAAAGAGGTCAGCAGCACACTGAGCCGGGTTTGTGAACAAAAGAAAGTTACATAACACCGCACTGTTATCTTTAAGGTCCTGTCAAGTCCTTGAGGCTGCCCCCCATTACTCACCTCTGTGCACCCTGCGGCAGCTGCTTAGTCTGGGTTCCCCACTGCATCAGATCGGCTAGCATGGTGCCAGCCACCTTGCCCTCGGAGCGGTTGAGGACACTGCCATAGTCGGCGCAGGCCAGGGGGTGGCCATCGCTGTCCAATACACACTCAAAGGCTGGGAAATAGAACAGATTGATAACCACAGGTAGAACTTGGGCCAGGGTAATGAAAATTTGAAAACTGGGTTTTGTACTTCACACACGTAATTCAATAAGTACCGTTTACACAATATTAACTGACAGCTTGTCAGAAAATATTTGTGATCTTACTTGCTGGGAATCGAACAGGTAACCTCCTGCTTTCTTGTACAGCTCAGATTTTCAAGTTGGTTGTTGCAGAATTGACCGAATCTTCGAAACACACGTAGTGTCAACATAAAGGGGCCAGCATGCTTTTGTCGAACTGATCATCTCTGTTTGGTTCGAGTACTTACAGATATCGTAGTAGTACGGCGACACGACAAAGGATCGGAGATACTGCGGGCCGCCCAACACCTCAACCAGGGAGCTCTGTATCGACATCAGCGATGAGTCCATTGTTAAAGAACCTGATCGCACAAGAGAATGTCGGTGAAAACCTTTCTACTGTCTCATTTGTGAAATTTCCCCAAAATCCATTCGCTTCTACCTGAGGCTAAAGACGGAGCGATGACACTTCGGAAGGTAACAGCAAATGCTGGGTTACTTTTTATTATATCCAACCAGACAAACCCTGATATGACAGTCTCACTTATCTGTTTACGAGGCTGCAGGCCTGGCTGAAATACTCGGACGTCAATAGATTTTGTCTGTCAGACTAGAGTGGCCACCAGACAGTCATTCGTGTGGGTGTAAACATCCATTAATTGAAATGATGAATTTTTGAAGAATTTTGAAATCTGAAAATCTTGAAAATGTCCCGTTTGTGTGCACTGCATTTTTCAAACCACCCGGCAGCAAATGGTTAAGCCACTCCTCTGCACAGACAAGAAAATGTTGACGCAGTACGGAATTCCTACTGAGTGGTTGAAATAAGTTTCAAACTTGCTCTCCCTGTGGTCATTGGCATTCCTATCACCGTAGTTACTTCAGGTCTCCACAAAGCAGATGACAATTGTTTGCAGAATCCTGATTGCTCAATAAGCTTTAGACAGGCCCTGGTGCTACTCTAAGTTTCTTCTTAAAATAATAACCACTTTGTTTTCTATACAAGATGGTGAACACCTGCATGACCAACTCACGTTTCTTGAGAAGGTCTTGGCTGAACTGTTCATGGAACCAGGGCACTTGCAGTTCTGGACACTCCAGGGCAACCGTGCGGTTTAGGTACATCAGCTTTCGACGGTACATCATGCTACGGTCCGGGATGGCTGAGGGACAAACAACAAATGGGCCAGAAATCGTGGTTAACCCCACCATGATCCAGGGCTCGAAATTGGGCTTATCATCACGGGAGTGAGAACTTGCTCCTTAGACAACTGAATTTGTCACTTTAGAGGAGTAAGTAGCTCCCACACAATATTAAAGACATAGTGCATGTTCAAGAAAAAAAACAAAGACCCTGGTCCTTGCTGTTGCTTTTGTTTAAATTAATGACACTGATAACTTACGGCTTAGACTTTGGCAGATATTAAAGCCTGGATCGAGTTATTTTTGCGGGTTGCACATGACGTGCAACTAGTAGTGAGTGCGCACCACCCAGAACCTCAAACATGTGCTTAGCGACGCTACACAAAAAGTCGGGCACTGGGCCTTTATTACGTGCATATGCACACAGACATAAAAGGGTACTAACTGCAGCCAATGAAGCATTTTTGAAACGAGTGGATTAGGCTGAGACTTTGGTTTCGCTGGTTCCAGCTATTTTGGAGCATGGTTCAAAACTACATGCTCAAGCTATGACTGGAACCAACGAAACTCAAGTCTAAGCCAAAACCACACATTTATCTTGAATTTATGCACGAGGGTCCAGTTTCCATACAATCGTGACACTGGCCGCAGGTATGCATGTGTGAGACTGCGGCATGCGTTTGGTGACATCGTAAACAAAATTGTACCGTGTTACGGTTCCATGACAAGGCTAATCTGAAGTGAAGTCAAAAAGTTCAGGTATTTTTCTTGACAAAAGTAGAAACAAATGGTAAAAATATTCAGGTACATGGAATCAAATGGGCATAAGTATTTTTAAGTATCATTATGATTTACGGGTGCATTTCTGAGACAAACGGGTGCATTTTAGCTACCTGCGCCCGTTAATTTTGAGCCCTGTGATCGCCGGGCATATTTGTGAGGGAACTGTCAGAATCTATTCACTACACTCACCCTGAACAGCCAAAGGGGAGCACATTCCTAATTCAAACTGGCCTTGTGTATACTCTAGTTCACCCTAACCTCCTACTGTCTTTTACTAGGCACTGGACCAGATCCATCAAAACTTAACACTCCTTGTGCAATCCTTATTTCTTTCTAAAAGTCCACCACTGGTGTGATAGTCTTCACTGATGGACCTATTACAAGCGGCTTACATGATATCATCAGTTATGTTGCCAAGACAGTACGCACTGAATGCCATGGCAGTGCTTCAGGCTTCCTGGACCAAGTCCATCATAATCTATCAACATTTGGTCAACCTCAGGCCTTCTGGACTGAGTCCATCAAAATCCACAAAAAATGGATTTTGATGAAATTCTGGTGGTTTGTTTCAATCATGATTTCAGTTTTAACCCTAACCCTCCCAGATGCAGCTAAGTGCAACAGTAGTAAAAGCCTGGTGCATTTTGTTGCACTGGGCAATCAACAGCAGCCGAACAAACTGCCCATGTTGAGTCAGTGGGAGCTTGTCCCATTGAACGATGCCACCGTTGGATCTTGTGGTGACTGGCAACCACAGACTCCCAGGCTGTTTGGCCTTGGGGAGAGTTGACCTGTCAGATCTTGTTCCACAGGGCAAGCAAGCCACTTTGACAAATGATGCAGACTGATGCGTCTGGCAGGGTTTCTAGCCAAAGTACCCAGGAGGGTTAGGGTTAATATACACCATTCAACTCATTCAACATTGACCTGTATTCCAAGTTCTGCCTGTGGAAACTTAAACCCCATCTGATACCACATATAACCACCCATTTGGGAAATTTGTCACACTAACAACGTATGATACAAATATCCCATCACCCAATATATTAACATCTGAGGCAATGCAATTCTCCAACAACATGAAGATGACATCATTCTGAACAGAAGATTGGGGTATCAAGTCAATCACTTGTGTCATTGCGTGTGCACCTGGGCTGGAACAATGACATCAAAATGTTACTGTTCTGCTTTGTTTGGACAACTGGTTATAGGACTAATAAAATTTGTGATAACTTCCAATCCTCGATTGCAACTCTACCAAAAATATGTGTTCCAGGGTCTCTATCTAATACAAAAAATTCACCAATAAATGATTCCACACACAGGGGGGTTGGCATTCAGATCGGCCACCTACTTTCCAACTCTTCGTCCAGCTTGGTCAGGAAGTCCAGACTGAAGATGTGCCGGATGAAAGGCTCAGGGAACTGCTGCAGGAAGGTGAGGATGTGGGTCAGGTCCACCAGGTAGCCCGTGGGCAGACTGTCCAGGAAGGGTTGGCAGCGGGCCACGCATGCCTGGAAGAAGGCTGGGGCGTTGGGAGGCAGGTAGTTGAGCGAACAAAAGGGACTCAGGATGTACAAGACCTGTAGCAGCAAGCAAGTGTATGACTTAGAGACCTTGTGCATTTCAATCGTCTTGGTGGGCTCATTGTTCTTTTTTTCATTTGAATGCAGTAACTAATGAACACGTTCTCTTTTCATGCTTAGCCCTGTGTGACTGGACTCGTGACCTGACTTGTGATCTGCTTTGTGACCAATTGTGATTTGACTTGGGTGTCGAAATTTATTGGACTAGAGACCTGATGTGTGATATGACCTTTTCACCTGATTCAACTTTTCACCTGACTCGAGATTTGATTGGTGACCTGACCTGTGATTTGACCTTTCAACCGAATTGTGATTTGAATTGTTCTCTGACTTGTGATCCGACTGGTGATCTCACCGATGCCTGAACTGGGTAAAGAAAGTGAATCCTGACCTGCATCGGTGTGATCTTGTTCATCTTCTGGGTGGCCACCTGGGCAATCTTGTCCATCAGATCCCGCTGGAGGTACCTGGCCCTGAATAGGTTCCGGGCACAGTCCACAGCCAACTGGGGGGTCATGCGGTGCAGGACGTTGGTGAACTGCTTCATGGCAGCGTCCAGGACTAGGACATGCCCGTCGTCCCTAAGAACGATGTCCACAATGTTGTTGAGGTAGTAGATGCTTGTGATCTGTAATGGCAAAATGCAAAGCACCAAGAGAAGTGAGAACAACAAGTTTCTATTTGGGGGTTCTCCTCAGCAGTCAACCAGGAATCAACAATCAGCCTTTTTGTCATCTCTGTTTGACTCTGTAATGACTTTAAAAGTCATTTTTTTGCTATTTCATCCACAGAAGGCTAGTAATAATGCCTGTGTTCTTGCTGATAAAAATTATTACGAGTAGTGTTTGAATAACAAAAAGGAAAAAAAGATCTGAATTTTTAATTACATGTAATTCACCTGGTCAATTGACGCTTGTGCTCTCTCAAACAACTCCTGTCTTAATTCAACAACCTCCTGGCTGAGTGTGCCCAACTTTGACTTGTCTAACTTGCGGGCAATCTTGCTGGTGGCCTGGAGCATGTAATTGATGCCAGCAATGTTCAGCTGGGGCATCATGGCCCGGACTCGCTTGGGGACGGTGCAGTCCAGCAAGTCCAAGGTTGGCAGCTGGGCGAGTGTGGCAACAACCGTCAGCACCCGGCTCGGGGAGAAAGCAAAGCCCAGGATCTCCAGGAGCCTCTCCTGGATGATGGTGAAGACCTCCGGATCGGGGCTGTCCAGGCGAACCAGGAACCCGACGATGTCGGCCAAGCCATCCACCTGAAGGCTGCTGCTCTCTGCTTTGATCCTCCTCACCAGTTTCTGCACCAGGGGCGTCTGGTGGTTCCGGTACCCCATCAGGCGCAGTCCAGCAGACATGCGGCTGATGGCACTAGGAGTGAGTACTGAAGCCACCTCCTCCGCTTTGTCTGCCAGAAGGAGTTTGATATCGGCTGAGGCTACACTGCCGATGCTCTCAATAGCATAGGCCAGGTCTTCTGGATCATGGCAGGCTGGTAGTTTTTTAATAATTGTCTTGTGGACGGCATCCTGGAGCTCTTTGTTTTCATAATTGAGGCATCGCAGCATGGACTGTACCATGCAGAGCTCCTTGAGTGGGATACTCTCCATCATCTCCATTAAGAGTTGGGCACACTGGTTTAACAGTGGCTGACTGACACTGCGCGACCGTGCCATGGTGTGGATAATTCTCCTGATGCTGTTGTCTCCAATATCCATGGGGTTAGCTTCTGCGAGGAGCTGGCTAGCCCTCTGGAAGACAGCTTGCCGGTTGGGAGGAGACACCAGGTGGATTGCCTCCCGCATCCAAGCCGAAAGCTCCCGGATGCTGTCCACTGTGTGCAGCTTGTCGCTGAACAGTCGCACTGTGGCACAGAACATGGGGCTGCGATTGTCATTCATGTCACCGAGGCTGACAGCAAGTTTGGACAATGCGTTCGTCTCCAGCTCGTCAAGCCGGTGGTTTAGCTCCGTTCTCAACTCTCGCACCAAGGGGTGGTGCACCTCCGGAGTGAGCCTCAGTGCCGCATAGAGGGTGTCCACCAACAGCTTGCCATCCACATCGTTCAGCTTGTTTTCCGCCAAAACGCACAAGGCATCAAATTCTGGGTGGCGACGGACTGCGTCAAGAAAGCAGGTCAGATATGGCCCATCATGGAGCTTGGCAAGCTGCCAGATGTGGTGGAAGGCATGGAAAATGTGGACATGGGTCAGACGGGCACGGTGACGACCCGTGAGATTCAGAACCTCAGTGGGGTCGGTGGTTGATGAGATCTCATCAAGCAGGGCATCCGCTGGCAGTGTTCCTCGGAATCGCTCCACGGCTGCTTGACAACTATGCCCAGGAATCTTTCTTGTAGTATTTCTCAGGACCTTTGAGTGCATACCTGCCTGGCGTGTGACAGTTTGTGTTGACACTGATGATTTGCTCTTGACATTCCCTGCAGAGTCTTTCACGACGTGCAGACACCTTACACAGACAGAAGCTTTGCCAAATTGGCGCAAGTTGGATTTTGCAAGAATGCAAGCACCTATTCGGAAGCTGGCTACAGATGACGCCATACTTCGCAACAGCTCACTGCGGCTTGTTTGTAGGCAAACAGTACTCAAAGCAGTTCCCTTCATCAGCCTGACCTGTCAAACTCCAATGTCCTAAGAAGCAAACAGAGAACACTTTGATTCCTGATTTTTTTATTAATGCCAGGGGTAAGACTTTGATAGATTTTGGGGAAAATAAGTCTACACATTTGAGTGTCATTAACACTGACAAACTTTTAAAAGTCTTACTGGTAATTTTCAGGGGTTTTAGTAACATTTGCCTGAGTAGGCCCCTACATGTCCTATATGTATTTTTCAGGGCAGACGCCAACATGGTCAAAGGTGATTCAATACTACTAGCCTACCTGGGGATGGGAGGCATGATCCAATGGGGAATTCTTTCCAATTTATACAGTTGGACCATAGAGGGGGTCATGGAGGTAGGCATGGTAGAAAAGGTAGCCTGTCACCAGACCGTCACTGTGCCTCCACAGGTGCAGCCTTGCAGGCGACACTGACAGGCATGACAGGACACAGACAAGTTGGCTAGCCATCGTGATCATGGCTTTCATAGCCCAATCTTGAACCCTGAACAAATTTATTGTAATCCCTCCTGATTGATGATCCTATGAATGGATGTTAATTATTCTTTTTGTTATATAAAGGCAAATAAGCCTTATCGCAAATACTGCATGGGTGATTCTGCACAATCATGACAATGGTAGAAAAGCACTGTGGGAAGGAAAAGGGGCAATGTTTGCTCTTTTTTCCTTCTTGCACTGCCTTTCTACCATTGTGCAAAATCACCAATGCAGTATTTGTGATAAGGCTTACCATTTGCCTCATGGTAGAGTAGGCCTACCAATAAATTTGCACCAAGAACATGAAGAAGTTCAAGATTGTCATGTGCTTAGGCCTAAAAAAGTAACATGCCTAAAGAAAATCTAGCCCAACAAATAGGGCTGTAGTGACTCTCTTTTACAATCTGTCTCTTATCTGTCGCCACCACCACCCAACTTCAAGCATGCTTCAAGGCATGTCTTAAATCATGCCTGATGTCTAGGCCTAAATGCTAGACATGCTAGATTTTCCTTTAATTTACTTAGGCATCATGCAAGAATTTGACTTTTAACACCGTTTAGTTGAGAAAAACAAAAAAATTAAAAGCGTCAGGTCAAAGATGATTTTTTTCACCTGCACTCTCGAAGAATTCACCATTTCTAGTTCGCAACGGTGTTGTGTCATTCCACAGGAGCCGGGAAGTAATGTGTAGGCCTTATGTTGAATAACTGGTCGATTAAATAACATTAACACTAGTTTGTCTGTTACACAACATGCATAATGCTTGTCTGCTACATTTTCGTTCCCAAAACGATACGTCCGTACTTAAGAGCACTGTAGTCCCGATGATAAGGTTGAGAAAGTGTTCATCGTCTGGTCTCCCAGCATACCCCATGACTTACCCACTGAATAACACAATAGTATGAAATTCTGAGTCTCGAAATCAGACTACAAAAGGACAAGTCTATTACGGTAGCTTTTGACTGCCATAATTACCTCCTTTGCTTCATTCCGTCTTTGTGCACCATTTATTTTACTCTAGGAAATCTGTTCTGATTTTAAAAACCTTATTTTGAAAGTAAACTTTTTGGGGGAATACAGTAACAAGAATCTGAAACTTTGGTTGAAGTGAGTTTTATTTTCAACGACATGACTATGTACTCGTTCCCACGGCGGGGACAAGCGAAACACGATGGATAAAACTCTTTTAACCCTGTTAAAAGAGCCGGGTTATTTTGGTCCCTCTCACCGTGAGTTGGGTGGGGGTGAATTCGCCCCCCCCTCCCCCAGAACCTGGCCACTCAGTATCATTACAAACGAGTTACAAGTTTGACGTTGGCAATCAAACGAATTGTTCTGTTGTTACGGTCATTGGAGTTCAAGGCTACACGCGTGCCAGCCTGCATGTATTAAGCACCACAGTGGAAAAGTATACATTTTTTTCTGACCTGTCTCGGAAAAATTGGCGGTGCATAAGATAAAACGGTAGGTTCTCTGTTCACAAAATTGATGTCAAAATGACCGCAAAGGCTCTAAAGATTCCTAAAGGCTCAGCTCCTGAAAAAAATGCACTGCGGAAAAAATTTGCAAATCCGCCCCGGCTCTTTTAGGGTTAGGCGAGATTTCTTTTGGCGCTCAAATCTGCAGACCTTCTGGACTCAGAAGTGGGAAAAGCATTTTTTTTTTCATTTTGAGAAGTCTAGGATCCGCCGACTAACGATTTACCTCAATATAAATGTAAAAAATAAAACAACTTCCTATTTTTGCTCGGCTGTCAGACCGACGGCAAAGTGCTGTTTATCTTGTGAACTTTTTCTTTCTTTTCTTTTCTTTTCTTTTCCTTTCTTTTCTTTTCTTTTCTTTTTTAGTTCTTCCCTCCGACTTGAAGACCCTTATTTGCTTTTCTTGACACCACAGAAAATGTTGGGTTTTGTTGTTGTTGTTGTTGTTGTTTTTGTTATTGTTATTTTCAGTCCTCCTCCAAAATATTTCTTAAGAAAAATCCGAGCACAACTTATCAATCAATGCTCACCTTGAAGTGCTCAAACAGAAATTATCCTCTTCTCCAAAAAAAAAATATCCTTTTGTCGACGCGTCGCAGACTATCCATCACGGGGGACCGAAAATGATTGCAATGTTTTTAAAATAATCAACTTATATCAATTCAACTTTGGCTTTTTTAAAAGATATTCCTTACTGTATTTGTAATTTTGTTCCTGTTCTCTAAGTTGCTTACCCTGCATGCAAACATTTGCTGTATTCGTTGAATAAATCACAGAATGTTGATCGTCCATGAGATATTGGGTGACGCGCGAGAAGAAAAACGCTGAAAAAGTGGATGGGATGGGGCAAAGATGTAGGGAGCACTATTGGTTTGGGGAATACAAAAAGTTGAAAAATCAGGGCCCCGGAAAGGTGAGCGACCATTAACGCTGCACCACTAACAGCCCTTCCCGGCCTTCTCAGTATAAGCAATCGTCATTGTCATTTGTTACCCTTTTTCGATCTAGAAAATTGACGGAAACTTTCAACGCTTTTCCAACTGTCAGTGCGCCATCTATCGTAGGCGTCAGCCAGTAGAACTTCAGTTTCTTCGAGAGTAACCGCCAGGGCTAGCGCCCACTGCAGCTTGATCTCACGCCCATTATTGCCCCAAGGAAACGGTGTGACCAATATCGTTGCAGCAATGACTCATTGGGCTTTTGGAATAGTTAATTTAGGCGCTACCTACGCATGTATACTTGTACATGCATTTGCAACCGTGGTGTGCAAATTGGGTCGTCTGCATAGTGAACTCAGTGGGATTGGGCGTGATTTCTTTTGATTGGTAATGAAGGGAATGTGGGAAAGTAATGACACAGAGCAAAGAAACAACTTGGCCAACGAAATAGAGGAAGTTTAATTTGATATTTGCCTGTAAACATGTAGAGTAAGACAAGGGACTGGACGTCATCTACACCGGACAAGACTAAGGCAATGCACAGCAGTTACATGTTGCGGTGTGCACGCTCGAGCACATGTACAGTCTGACGCGTGACGGCTGACCGCCGGATGACCGAGCGAATCGTACATAGCATGGCCAGATAACTCTGCTGTGATTCGGTGAAATAACCATTACAAAAATTCGTCTGAACTGCATTTATTAGACACAGAGAACAATTGGAAAGATGAGCCGACGTCTGTAGGATTTGCCTGCAGTCCTGGTCCCTGAGACTGCCAAGCCAGCGTTTGTAGGGACGGAGAGCTGCGTGAGAGATGCCTGACGGGTCGTCAGCAGGACGCGGGACGGAAGTGATGGCCGGCAGCGACCGGGTAGTGCTCCGGCGGCTCGCGGTCAGGCCCAAGCCTCGGAAAACAACGCTCATCTTCGGCGTCAGCCAGATGATATTGGGCCTGGCCATTGTCGCCATAAGCTTCACAGCATTTGCCTTGTCAACCAGCAACAGAGTCAGGAATGCCTGCCCATATTGGGCAGGATTTTCAGTGAGTACAGGCCTAGCCCATTTTAAAGTTAAACCATAACCAGACCTTTAATAATTAATAGGCCCTGCCAAAGTTAGTGGCATAACACGCCGCATTGTCTTTTTCCCATGCTCATTTCATGCCCAGTCTGTAAATTGAAAGGGTGAGAGAGGTTATGAAAGGGAGCACTTCAAAATTCTGGCAGAGAATGGTGCTGTAAAAAGTGTATTACGTGTTTAATTTCCATTGTATCATCTGTCATGTCTGTTGTGTTAGTGTTGCCGGTACTTCTTGCAAACAGTTAGAGGATTGGGACAACTGACATGATTTATGACAGTTTAAACTCTGGTTTGGCTTTCTAGACATCTTTGTTCAAGCGGACTCTGGAAGTTTATAAACCTCCTTAGTCACAGGCCTCACTCTATGTAGGAACATCCAATACATGCCCTCTCTCTTTGTTATATCAAAGCCAGAATTGGTGTCTGCAACGTTCAGATACAGACTTTACGTATAATCACAATAAATAATTCATGACATTCTGGTTTCCAGATTTGTGAAAAATCAACAGTAAACAGTGCAGAGAGAGAGTGTTAAAATTGTTCGAATTGAACATTGAGCTTAATGATATGAAAGCTTTGGAATTGATTTGACTGTCAAGTTCGAAGGTATATTTTGAGATACATGTAGTTTAATTTGGCAAAATCGCATACAATGTACATGTTCATCCAACATTTAAAAGTGAGAAAATCTTTCATTTAATTATCCTTAAAAAAAATTTGCTGGTATTGAGTTCCATGCATAGATATCACTGATTTTCACTAAAGTGGTATGTCAGCCCATACTTGTAGGTAAGTGAAAACATGTCCTAAAATGTCAGATTTAGCAGGGTAATATTGAAATGTTTGCGTACAAAACACTCATTAGATTACATAATCTTGCAGTGTTTGTGCACAGGGTGTCAAGTGATATAAATGTACATATGTCCATGTGTGGAAGTCTTTCCAGTTTACATAATTAGAAAGTTCTTAAAAGCCTACTTGGCAAATAAAGCACATTTGAAATTACACAATAACTCTTGAATCCCGGGATTTCACTTTCAGCACCAAATCCAATAGTGTCCAACAACTGCTGGAAAAGAGTTCAAGGAGAGGAGCAGCATTCGCACTGCTGATACTGAATCACACAAGGAGTCATTTGACACCCTGTGCACACATCCTATGAGCCTAGTCTTAACTTCTAAGTGTATTTCAAAGGATATGATTCAATATTTTCACTGCTATATTTGACTTTTGGGGGCATGTTATCACTTTCTAAACCACTGCAAGGGAAAGTACATGTAAGTGTTGTCCATATATGGAACTCTTACCTTGATGGCTGCCAGAACAAGTCAAATGTTAGTTTAAAAATAAGAATTTGGTGGTCAACAGGATTCAACAGGATTTGCCATTGACAGGATCTTGCTCATCTCAGCATGAATCGTTAAATCAAGCTCTTGGAGACCAACGGATGCTGAAATCTGATGCACACCCTTTTGTCTCCTCCCCTTGGGTACACTGTACCTTGTGCCTCATCGTACACAATTCCGAACCCACTCCACCTAATGAATGCACTGGCCGCAACAGGAGAAATTACAATGTACAGTGTACATATGTACATGTATGTCTGTATTCTGTACATGTACATTGTACGTACAGTGTATGTACTGTACATGCATCATGTTCTGTTTGAAAGCACATGTACGGATCTTCAAACCAATTAAAAAAACCTCTACTGGCACATGAAAAAGTGCTACTAGTGCTTAATGACTACGAAAATCAGAACAATATTCTACACATCGTTGTAGAACAGAACGTTTTAAGAAAAGTCCCATACCTTATTTTACTCAACTTTGAGATAATTGTAATTAACCCTATTTTACACTCTTGCCTTCATTTGAAACAACTTTGTAATGTTTTTGTGGGTTTTTATTGTGTGCCAATGACCGCTTTTCAGCCATGAGTCCTGGATGGGTTGTGCATGTGCCCGCCTCTGTTGGTCGGAGTGTCTTTTTTGGGTGTGTGCGATATTTAACCCTGTGTTCACATCGCAATTCTTGTATTTTAATGTCTAATTGTACAAATCTCAGCAATTCAGCCTTTGGCTGCTATTCAGATTTTAATAATAAACCAGCAATGAATGAATGAATGAATGGTTGATTATATGTCCTTGGAAGATATTTGTTTTGTGGGATTGGTTGAGTCTGAATGATCTGTTGATTGTACATGTAGTGCATGGTTGGTCGATATTGTTGAACATCATAGACGTTATTTCCCAATTCCAAAATAGTCTTCCACAACTGTTAAGTACACGTAGAAAGACGAAGTGATTGGCTTACAGTGGAAGGATTGACAGATTGTGCTGCAAGATTTACATGCACTTGAAGTGCAATGATTGATCAGTCGTGCAGATCGACTGATCCCATCCGTAGTATTGAAACATTCTCTCTAGCATAGTAGCAGCACATAGATTTTTTCCTGTTTAAATTAGGAATTCTCCTCTGGCAGTCATTCCTTGTACTGGGTAATGCAGATGATGAACCCTTGCAATCTTGGCCAAGCTATTCTGTGTAAATATTATTTCAGTAAAAGTACACAACACATCCAAAAAGAAAACAAGGGAGGAGAGTATTGATAAGTTGTTTATTTTATGTGGGTAAACATTGTTTCCACCTAAACCACCAGAAGTCATCCGACTACCCTCCTCAAAGAAAACCAGAATGTCACATACCTTGGGTAGTAAGTTTGCCATAATTTGCACATTCTACAAATACAGAATAATTACATACATGTACGTTTATATATAAACCTGTCATTGAATCTATGTTTACTTAACCTAGTCTGCCTGTTTATGTTGAGTAGCTGTATCTGCCAAGTACTAAACCTCTGCACAGCCTGTATGGTTGTACTTGACTTCCATAATCATGCCAGTCAAGGAAGCTGTTCATAAATTGGGCCGAAGTAGTATCCTGGTGGTCTCGCCATTGATCCTTATTATACAACAAATTTGTGTGAGGGAAAAGCTGACTGGAATCTTACAACCCTTCAGTGTTCTTCTCCTTTATGTTAAACCGGTATGTACTCACATTGTGCAGTGTAATTTGTCCTTGTTGCATTTGATCATTTGCAAAAAAAAAAAACCGGAAAGACATACACATGTAGCTACCTGTATATTTTTTTATCATCTGTGAGTGGCAATATTTAAATTTGTTTTTAATTTTCACCTTCTGTGGATGTATACATTTTTTTTTTACTGAAAAACTTGTTTTTAAAGTTGCTTTATTTGGCCTAAGGAAAAGTGTTAAAAGTTTCCTTGAGATGTTAAGCTTCAATAAAGCACATTTATCCAAGACAGACTGCAAAAAAGTCTGCATTAATATGTTGCTAAACGTGTTGATACCTAGTACTAGTGTAAATCCAGATCGCCTGACAGTTGCCAATTTTCTGGGACCAGCGCACCCATTAACACGCTGCCATGATTTATTCATGGGGAGTTTGCACCATACGCAGGTTTTGCTCACACATAGACCCACGCACTGCTCATGTACTGCACCGAACACGGTGGACGTGCACCCTGAATGATAGCGATGGGCAACAGGCGTGTCCAGTTGCATAAATGTTTCATTTGTGCTGTCATCGATGTCTGGGGTAATTTACTGTGTTTATACATGTACATGCACATGTATGTGTGCCACAGTGAAGCAGTTTTTCCAAACCTCACAAATTACTTTAGCCCGGGATGAATGGGTTTGAGCAGGAGAGCTTCAAATATTTTCGTCACTGTTGCATACATCAATAAATACCAACAGCAATACAGCTGCACTTTGCATGATACCGCATTCAATGAAATTTGAATTCACTCACGTTTTTCAAATGCAGAGAGCAGACTTCAGTATTTTTTGTGTAAATTCAAACTGATGGTATTGCTTGTGTAACAGCATAGTTTATAATTGAGAAGTAGTTTACATAATACTCAATTCTCAAACAAAATATGAAAATGATCAATTTGATGTACAAAAAGAATTTTTACTCAGCAGTGATATACATGTACATTGCAAAATTTAGGGAATTAGCTGAGTAGAATGAAAGCAGGCTGAAGAAGTCATGACTTTAAGAAAAATTTAATCATCTCATGTCAGAAATCAAATTCTTTACCAAGTGATTTTACAGGCCTTCATGACTCATTTTACAATCACCAGTAAAGGGTCTGGTGTTATGATTTCTGTCTTACAATAACAAACCAGAGGTTGATATCAAATTGTAGTGGTTGGGGTCAAGGAAACCCAATGCTTCTCAAAGTACTTTCAACTCTCTGATGTCAGATGAACTCACGAGCGAGTCCTAATCCAGGGAATTTGTCGGTGGTTGTTGAAATGAGATCTCTACAAACTGGCAGGAAAAAAACCCATTCCATTCAATTGAGCTATACTTATTTTCTAAACTCGTATACAAAGAGTTGGAACAGTTTTGCTGGATTTCTACATGCATGCACTTTTTGATTACAAGTGACAAAATAATTCTATGTCTGGTAGCCCCAGTGTAATAACAGAATGATTGATGTGTGCATACATTTAGATGAACTAAGATCAAAGGACTTTTGAGATTCCAGGGGGGCATCCATTTATTGCAAGGGCCTATATGACACCTATTTGCTAGGTGTCTGAAGTTGGTCTCTTGCCACAAGTCAGCAGGTACATGTACATGTATGCCCAGTACTGGTAATGTTCATTAATTTTCAATTGTGACTGTCTGGGCCTGGCGCTGAGGACGATGTAATAGTGTTATGTAAATTTCAGATGGTTCATAGTATGCAGGTAAACAGTGGATCGCTGTTAAATATCAGCATCTTTGTGTACACAGTTACACATAGCTTTAGAATCAGAATTTCTGGTTTCCAGTATGAGTTTCATCAATAAATTTTAATTTCAGGTGGGTAGATGAACCAGTACATTGTGCATGTTGGTCTCCTAGTGTTGAACTGTCCTTGAGAAGAAAGTTTGAGAAATGAGCAATGATTTTAAGACTTGGGAAATCCTGACATAAGGGGACTCAATGATATCCCTACATTCATTCCTAGGGGCTCAGCACAGTGTCTGATAAAAGCCTTTTGGCTTGGAAGGTGTGAAAAAGCAATCAAGCTGGCAAACAACTTAAGGCAAAATAAAAGGAAGCTTGTAAAAAGAAGGGATGGTCTTGTGTGTTGGGGAGAGGGGTAAAGTGGAATGAATGCGTGGCCAGTTGTGGGAGGAAGAAATATGTGGTTTCATCTGCACTACCTTTTTTGGCACCTTAAGAGATACAAGTATGTATAATTTTGTTGGGCCATACAGGTGTATGTACAGTAGGTAACAAGCTGTTAGATTTAATACATTTTATCACAAACTTGACACATTTTGGTGACATTTTCGACCTGTAGTTTATTGAAGCCTCCTTTGTTCTGTTTCAGGTGTTTTACTAAGAAAGCAAATAGAGAGGCTGTCTTCCTTTGTCCAAAGGCCTACCACACTTGTAAGGCTGGAGAAACCTCATAAGGCATAAAATTGTCCCTCAAAGGAAGTGCTGGCAATTGTCTTGCTTTTATGGCAGGCCCTAAATTTGCCATGATCAATTGGAAACATACAACATAGTGGCAGGCACTCCTGTGTGTGCACAGGTGTGGCCTGCCTGTTAATTCAGGCGGACAGAGGAACCTGACTCATTTGGACCCGTCATTAGCACTAATCTCATCTCAAATGAAATCCTTCCGAGCGTCTTGAGTTTCTTAGCGTGTAGGGACGCCAGAAGAATGCACTCCCCTCCGGGAAAGGAAGGAGAAAGTCCGTTCCTGGGTTTGTTGAGTGTCTTAAGGGCAACAAAAGCACCTATCCAGCTCAGTGCTCTGATGAGATCAGGCCCCCTTTTCCCCTGGATTATCGGGAGGTAATCCCTTTTGTTCAGTGTCACCTTGGTTTGTCCTTTCCTTGGTTGATTTCTTATCCATCACAGAACGATTGGGCTTCCAAATTGGCGCAGTGGTGTGGAAACTTTAGACAAAAGCCTGTCCTTTCAGTCTTTCAGAATCTTTAGGTCCTCCAGTTTGCCTACTGTTCGTTCAGGCTCATCATTTACCACTCCACCGCAGCCCTCCATATTAATTGATCTGCAGAAATGCCCAATCAATAACTCTAGAGGTTCTACTGATTGCATACATGTACAGTAAAGAGGTCTCAAACATCCATTACGTGGATATTTTAGTTTGTAACAGAGAAATCCTTGCTGTGGATGAACAAGTGAATGTTGACAAGTCACACCACTCACACACCATTCACGGCACTGGACTGAGAGCCAAAAACAAAAACTGTAAACTTAAATGCAGTTTCAGAGGGTTGTATTTGGCTGTTTGGTGAATGGTCAAGTGTGGTAGTTAACCACTTGGTGTACACTGTGTGTAGGGAACTTTTGTGAGTAGCTCAGTAGTTCAAGTATGGAGAAATCAAGTGGCCAGATTCAGAGACCAAAGATAAAAGTCAGCCCTCAAAATGTGTACCACCAAGGGCTTTATTCCTCACTCACTGCGCAAAAGCATGCACTTGACTTTTGGGCACTCTCAAATTAAAGCATTGCAGCGATGCTTGTCAGCCTGCCGATGAGGGGACGAGGCGTGTTCATGTCTTCAATTACCGCAGACACCCACTGGCCCCGTCTCTTCGACTGCAAAGAGCAAGAGAAGTGGCACAAGAAGTCCGCCTGCACATCAGAGCTATCCATCACCATCCCCTTGGTGTAGCAATGCTGTGGTTCTGTTGATGGCAAAAGTTCATTTTGTCCCGTGTGCAAACACATACACTGTATCATAACCAATGCGGTGGGGTTGCTGTTGAATGCACTTACAGATGTTTCCAGTTTACGCTATGTGTGGAAAGTCTTTTCTGTTAGGACAAAGTGAAAAAAAACAAACCCGAGAACGTTGTGAATGAGTAAGATTTGTCACTTGGATGGACTGAAAGGCACAGTGATGAGTGTTTGCTGCGCGCTGTTGTGTCATCATTGAGAGAATTTTGTGGTTTGGAGCAGTGTGAAAAAAGGTTCCAGGAAAACTGGAAGATTAGATCTTTACACTGCTTGCTGCTTCTTGGAATCATTTGTTGTGAATACTTACTGCAAATAAAATGTGCTTCTACGGCGCCTTCCCATATCTTTTACAGACTGCATAGTTAATCACTGTGTTTCAGTTGTGAGTTTAGGGAGTGGGACTTCATTTTGGAAGACCAGATTTAAGTGGACTTTCGGAAATTTGGACTTGAATTTGGAATGAAGGTGACTTTTGTGTTCAACTACTTGAAACTTGACATACATGTACAAATGATAAAGTTCCACCCCAGGAATCAGAAAAATAATACAACTTTTCTAGACATGTGTAACTCCCCCACTCCACCTGACAGACCAGAACACTATTTGTGTACACTGTAGGAGCCACTAAACCACCAACAACCAACTGTACAAAGAAGTATACTATTAACTATACGTTTACTAGATTCTATCACTGGATTACCATAGTGGACATCTTCAGCTAAGAGGATTAAATTATTGATTAAAATAATGTAGCGGAGTTCCCCCCACCGTCAACCAGCAACCACCATACTGGCTATTGATGTCTCAATATAAAGTAGGTCTTCTCAAGTACCTTCGATCTCAACGCCATGCTCTTAGTTACGCTAAAAGCGCGGCCCAGCTTCAAAAGACCAACCATCGCTTGAGTGGACGGCGTGATATTTCTGGCAGACCGGTGGGCTGAGTGGCTCAGGAACTACAAATGGGTGAATCCCACGCCGGACTTGTTTGTTTTAGGGATCTATATATATGATTATGAGCATCTTTTTTGACGAAAAGACAGAGAGAGAGAGAGGGAGAGATGAAAAAATAGGGAGGCACAGAGCATTTGATTTTTTGCGCAAACGAGGTCCAATGGTCAAGTGGAGTAACAGAAATCCAACTGTCTGTTGAAACAGTTCATCAGACATCTACCGTAGCTGGAAAGCACCAAGTTGGTGTTATTAGTCATCTGGGCTTTGTATTTGCAGTGGGTTAAAAATCC